AGGGAGGGGCGGGGTGGAGGGAGGGGCGGGGTGGAGGGAGGGGCGGGTCCAGGGAGGGGCGGGCGCGCACCGAAGAGGGTGCCCGGGGCGCAGCCAAGCAGCAAGTGTGCAGATTGGTTCCTGGCGGCTGGGGCCTGCCATTTCAGCACTTTGTGAGGCAAAGGCCGGCGGATCTCTTTTGATCGAGTTCCAGAACAGGGCTCTACTAAAAATACAAAAATTAAGGCCCAGGCAGTGGCTCACGCGTGTAATTCCAAATTTTTGGGAGGCCGAGGCGGGCAGATCATGAGGTCAGGAGTGCAAGACCAGCCTGGCCAACATGGTGAAACCCTGAGTCTACTAAAAACACAAAAATTACCTGGGCGCAATGGCAGGCACCTGTCATCCCAGCTACCCGGGAGACTGAGGCAGGAGAACTGCTTGAACCCGGGAAGCGGAGGTTGTAGTGAGCTGAGATCGTGCCACTGTACTCTAGCCTAGGCGACAGAGCGAGACTCAGTCTCAAAAAAGAAAAAGGAGCCACTATCCTCAGCCCCCACACCAGGAGGCTTCATCTCAAAAACAAAAAAAGAGGGACTGAAGGAAACTAGGGGAAAAAAACAATAATAGTTTCAGACAAGACCCACGGGTGGATGCTATCATTAGTGAGTAAAAATTTGATCGCAGTCTCAGAGAACATCCCCCAAGATATCTACAGTAATAGCAGTTAAAGGATAAACAGACAGACACCACCTTAACCAAGTGATTAACATCTACGATACAGCAACATCCAGAATTCTCAGATATGATGTGCTGAGCAGCCTGGGCAACAAAAGCGAAACTCCATCTCAAAAAAAAAAAAACAGAACAAAACAAAAAATTCAGATGAGCCAAATACAGTGGCAGACACCTGTAATCCCAGCTTCTTGGGAGGCTAAGGCAGAAGGACTGCTTTAGCCCAGGAGTTTGAGGAAGACCCTGTCTCAAAACAACAACAAAAACCCCTAACTGTCCTAGACTGTATATATATGTCAGCTTGTGTGTGTATGGATTCGGATTTTATTTTTTAAAGGACCCCACGTGATCTAAAGTTCAAATAAGATGGACAGTCATTGCTACAACCCTTTTCTTCTCATCTCACTTTGTCCTGGGCCTGTATTTCATGGTTTTTTAGGTCTACTGTGGAAGCACCTTCTCTACAGAACAAAGACAAAGCAACAGAACCCAAATTCTTCCAATTCTCTTTGGGGTCCATTCCCTTCTTCTTCTGTGTACAAATATTAATTTCTATGGGATTATGCTGATGAGAAAAAATAAATTACATTTAAGTGAGTGACACCAAAAACGAATTACTTCACAGATGAAAAATCTGGCCCCAATGACACCTTCTGATCCTCAGTATCTTCAATTTTAAAATCATTGTTTTGATTTTTATTTCTAATTGTTAAGCTGAAGTGTTTCTTTAAATTCTTAAATTGGTTAAAGGGGTGTGTGTGTGAGAGAGCGAGCGATCTTGCTCCCCTATCCTCACCGGCCACACCAATCTACACCCATAACCATTTTTGTTAGTTTCCTGTTTATCCTTCCATTATTTCCTCATGCAAACACAAATATATATTAATTTATTTACATGTATTAAAGTAGTTTCTAAATCTGAAGAGGCATCGGACTAAGCCAGGGAGCTCTTTAAACATGTGGACACCTAGTTTCCATTTCATACCTATTGACTGAACAAAACCCCTGCAGAGTGGAGCCAGGAACTTGACAAAGTTCTCCCAGGTGGCTTTCTGTGACAAACACCTTTCAGGGTACTTACTCCAGCCCACATCACCTTTACCGAATAGGGATCTGTCCCATTTTGTCTGTGCTGTTGAGAGTATTGCTCCTGGCCACAGCTGATGAGGTACTACCCAGGCCAGACAGGAGTCTCTTCTAAGGCAGAGCTGGGCCAACTAGCTCCTCTTCTCAGAGAACCTGGAGCTGGATCACAGAGACTACAAGGGGCCAGGCTGGCTGGCGGAAGACTGTTTGCATAACCAGGAATACTAGGATGGGCCACATGCACCAAGACTTCATTCTGCAGACAGAGATAGAAGAGCCAAGTAGTAGACAGACCTGAACTGCAGAAACAAGGCCTGCTGCTCCACAGAGAATGACAGACACACTGCCTTGGTTCCCGGTGACTTTCCAGTTCTTCAATCTAGTCCTCCATTCCTCAGGTCTTCAGTAGGTTTTCTGGAGTGAGTGACAGCAGCAGGAGTTTCAGGAGGCATCCTGGAGACCATCTGCTACTCTAAACATGCAGTGGGTTAGTGTTGTGAGTATGGCTGTTATCTGGAGGTGGGCTGCAAAGCTGCAACTGACTCTGGCTGTTATTTCTCTGTCTAGGTCTTTGCTTGTGTTTGGAACAGATGTATTTACTGCTCAAGAGTGCAAGTGAGGAGACAATATGGAAAGAAAAGAAAAGAAACATTTCAGAAATAAGATTTCCACTGTAAATTGAGAAATAAAAAATTTGAGTAATTTCAAAAGAACTCATAATTCTGCTTGACTAGTATTCCGTAGGATGACAGTGGCAATGTGGCAGCTTTCAACCTGCCCCCAGATAGCAGCCATGCCCACAGCACTAACTCACAACACATTCAGATTAACAGATGATCTCCAAGACTCAAACTCGTTCTGCCTTCACTCACTCCAGAAAACCTACTGAAGTGACAGAGTATATTTGCAGAAATAACCTTAACATTATTCTACTTTTTTTTTTTTTTTGAGACGGGGTCTCACTCTATCACTCAGGCTGGAGTTCAGTGGCACAATCTCAGCTCACTGCAACCTCTGCCTCCTGGGTTAAAGCAATTCTCCTGCCTGAGCCTCATGAGCAGCTGGGATTACAGGTGTGTGCCACCACACCCGGCTAATTTTTGTGTATTTAGTATAGATGGGGTTTCCCCTTGTTGGTCAGGCCGGTCTTGAACTCCAGACCTCGTGATCCACCTGCCTCAGCCTCCCAAAGTGTTGGGATTACAGGTGTGAGCCAACACACCAGGCCTATTCAACTTTTATTTTGGGTCAAGATACAAAGTCTTGGTCTTGGAAGTCCTGAAACCCAAATTAAAGTTCTTGCACAGTCACAGCTCTGTTCTTGTAACCTTGGGCAATTATCTTAACCTCACTGAACCTCAGTAAATTCCCCTGTAAAATGTAAAGAATATTTACCTCACATATAACATTACTTGGATGAATAGGTATGTGAACTTGTTTCATAAATTCGATGCAAATACAAACTGTCACTGCCATCTAGATTTTCATCACTTTAATCTCCAATCTCATTTTTTCATTATTTTAATATAATTTTAAATAATGACTCTTTTTTTTTGGAGACTGTGTCTCACTCTGTCACCCAGACGGGGAGTGCAGTGGTGCAACCTCGACTCACTGCAACCTCTGCCTCCCAGGTTCAAACCATTCTCCTGTCTCAGCCTCCCAAGTAGCTGGGATTACAGATAGCCTGTAATTTTTTTCCTATTTTTAGTAGAGATGGGGTTTCAGCATGTTGGGCAGGCTGGTCTCGAACTCCAGGTCTCAAATGATCTGCCTACTTCAAGCTCTCAAAGTGCTAAGATTATAGGCATGAGCCACCATGCCTGGCCCCTAAATAATTAAATTTAATAATCTTTCTCATTCTTTTTGTTAATAATTGTAAATTCCACATTAATTTTCTTTATATTTATTTATTTTTTTGGGAGGGGAGGGGGATGAGTTGTCTCGCCCTGTCACCCAGGATGAAGTGTAGTGGTAAAATCTTGGCTCACTGCAACCTCTGCCTCTGGGGTTCAAGTGATTCCCCCACCTCAGCCTCCCAAGTGGCTGGGATTACAGGTGCCTGCCACCACGCCCAGCTAACTTTTATATTTTTTAGTAGAGATGGAGTTTCACTATGTTGTCTAGGCTGGTCTCAAACTCCTGACCTCAGGTGATCCACCTGCCTTGGCCTCCCAAAGTGCTAGGATTACAGGCGTGAACCACTAGGCCCAGCCAGTTTTCCTTATATTTCATTAGATATAAAAATCATGAGACAAGGCATGGTGGCTCATGCCTGTAATCCTAGCACTTTGGGAGGCTGAGGTGGGTGGATTACCTGACGTCAGGGGTTTGAGAACAGCCTAACCAACATTGTGAAACCTCGCCTCTACTAAAAATACAAAATTAGCTGGGCATGATGGCACATGCCATAATCCCAGCTATTTGGGAGGCTGAGGCAGGAGAATCACTTGAACTAGAGAAGTGGAGGCTGAAGTGAGCCAGGATCATGCCATTGTACTCCAGCCTGGGCAAGAAGTGAAACTATGTCAAAAAAAAAAAAAAAAAGATTATACATATATATATATATATATTCCAATTTTTAAAACATGATAACTACATAGGACTTTAGAATAGTTAAAAATTGCTGGGTGCAGTGGCTCATACCTGTAATCCCAGAACTTTGGGAGGCTGAGGTGGGTGGATCACGAGGTCAGGAGTTCAAGACCAGACTGGCCAACATGGTGAAACATCATCTCTATTTTAAAAATACAAACATTACCTAGGTGTGGTGGTGGGTGCCTATAATCCCAGCTACTCCAGAGGCTGAGGCAGAATTGCTTGAACCTGAGAGGTGTAGGTTGCAGTGAGCTGAGATTGTGCCACTTCACTTCAGCCTGAACAAGAACAAGATTCCATCTCA